CCCACCATTTTTCTCATACCAGGCCAATAAAAATCGCGCCGAATACCCTGCAAAGTTTTTTCTATGCCTTCGTGCCCCATATCATGCAATTCAGATATAATCTGAGGAATAATTGGAAAGTCAGAGCCGAGGAAAACCCTGCCTTTAAACAGCAGCAACCCTTCTGCAAGCTTCCAGTCCTCTTCTAGTTTCCCTTGTTTGACCTTTTCCTCCATTGCAGACCATTCTGGCGAACCAGTTGCTTCCTTTTTAATTGTTTCAAACAAGGTGGTTATCGGAATAGTGATTGCCACACATTCTATCTCAACATCCTCTCTACGTGAGAGGGCATCAACAGCCGCATTTAATCTTCCCGGCTTATATGTCACACGAAAATCAAATCCCACCAGCTTGCTTAGCCAATGCTGTTGCGGACAGGTTGTCAAGTGTTGCTCCAAGAGGTACTTTAAGCTTGAGTGATCGGTGCGGACCAAAAACTGGCGACCCCAGAGGTATGGTCTCCAATGAATAATGGCTTTAGCAAGGCCGATTAACTCTCTTTCATAAGCTGCCAACTTTTGATGCCTCTCCGCGAATTTCCTACTGAAAAAGGCAATAGGGTGTCCTTCCTGCTGGAGCACTGCCCCCACCCCAGTCCCGGATGCATCACACTTCACCACAAATTCTTTCTGGAAATCCGGTAATGAAAGCACGGGAGCAGAAGAAAGTAATTCTTTCAGCTTCTCAAATGCATGGTGCGCTTCTGGAGTCCACTGAAATGAGTTTTTCCTTAAAAGAGAAGTTAGGGGAGCTGCAATCTCGCTGTAATTCTGTATGAATTTTTGGTAATAGCCTGTCAGTCCCAAATAACCCCTTAGAGTTTTTGTTGAGTGAGGAATTGGCCATGCTTTAACCGAAATCACCTTTGAACCATCAACTTCTACCCCCTTTTCATTTATGACATGTCCCAGGTACGAGACTTGGGTTTCTCCAAACATGCATTTGGACTGCTTCAAGAAAAGGTTGTTTTGACGAAGAATTTCAAACACAAGCCTCACATGATGAAGATGCTCCACCCATGTTTTACTGTAAAACAAAATATCGTCAAAGAAAACCAAGATGAACCTGCGTAAATAGGGGCGAAAGATGTTCATAAGACTTTGAAAAGTGGATGGTGCATTAGTTAGGCCAAAGGGCATAACTAAGAACTCGAAATGGCCATGATGGGTGCGAAATGCAGTCTTCTCCACATCTTTGGGGTGCATCCGGACTTGATGATACCCTGATCTTAAATCCAGTTTGGTGAAATATTTTGCACCGTGAAGTTCATCAAGCAATTCATCTACTACCGAAATAGGATATTTATCCTTGACGGTGTTGTTAAGTTCTCGATAATCAACACAAAACCGCCAAGAACTATCGTGCTTCTTAACGAGTAGAACTGGAGAAGAGAATGGTGATCTGCCTGGCTGGATTATTCCCTGATCGAGCATCAATTCACATTGTCTTTCAATCTCGTCTTTTTGGAAGTAAGGGTACCGGTAGGGTCGCACTACCGCCGGTCCTGTTCTAGGTTTTAGGGTAATCCCACTCTCTCTGTGGTGGCAGCCCCTTTGGTTCAGCAAATAAATCTTCATATTCCCTCGTTAGGATGTCCAACTGAGCTGTGTCCGGGTCGCAACTGTGAAGCAGCGCCATGCGAGGGACAAATGTAGGGTGCTGTCCGTGCCAAATCACCGTCTTGCTCTCCCTTTCAAATCACATTGTTCTATCTGAGAAGTCCCACAATATGGGCCCTAGAGTCGCCAAGCAAGACACACCTAATATGGCATCAAAACCCTCTAGCGGAATGGTGTAAAAATCTGCGCTATATTCCTCTCCATCAACTAGGAAAGGAACTGATTTGCATACCCCTTGACTTGGAACTCTTTCACCGTTAGCCACTCGCACATGCAACCCCGACTTCCTGACAATTGGTAACTTCAGAGAGGATACTACTGCTTCTCTTAAGAAATTATGGGTGCTTCCAGAGTCAATCAACACTGTCAGCTGTGTTCCTTGCATTCGTGCCAGTAGTTGCATGGTCGATGAGTGTTTTGTACCACTTATAGCGTTGGCAGACAACTCCAAGTCTGGTAAGCCCTCTTCTTCCTCCTCGTCTTCAATCTAGATCAAGAAAAGCTTCTTGCACCGGTGATTCATTGACCACAGTTCATCACAATTATAACAGGGCCCTCTTGCTCGTCGTTCTGCCATTTCACCTTTCGTGAGCCGTTTAATAATCAGGTTTCCTGCCTTAGTTGTCATGGGCGCTTGTCTGTGTTGTTGCGGGCTTCGTTGTTTCGCATCTGTTGCAACACTCCAGCCTTTGACAGGTGCAATTGTCAATTGCTTTGCTTCTAATGTCCGCGCAAGGTTCATTGCATACCCCAGGTTTCCTGGTTTTGCCATCTCTACATCCGCCCTCAAGTGTGGTTGTAAACCAGCGACATATATGGCAATCTGATGTGTGGGTTGTATTCCTGAAGTTCTTGCTAAGGCCTTCTGAAATTGGGCACAATATTCATCAACTGTCCCTGTTTGCATCAAAAGCTTTAGATCACCTACCAGGTTAGAACTCAGTGGGGGGCCAAAATGCTCCAGGCAAAGGTCTTTAAACCTATCCCAGTTGACTTCACCTTCTTCGATCATTTGATTGAACCAGAGTTGTGCATCCTCTATCAAGTGGAACGCGACAACATTCACCCTGACAGCACTAGGAGTTTCTTGATTCAAGAAGATTTTTTCGCACCTTTTTAACCAGCTGATAGGGTCAGAGTTGCCATCGAATACTGGGAATTCCATCTTCGCATATTGTGGTCTCCAAGGGTTCGTGGTTCTCTGCGATGGCTGATCTTCCACTCAGCTGTGATCCACTTCATCTTCATGTGTTTCTACTATCTTTGAATCTCGTTTGTGGACTGCCAGAGAGAGCCGCTATCTGCCCTTCTAACGCTGTTGTCTTAGCAGTCATGGCCTCCATAAATTTCTTCATCATGGTGGTTAAATCCTCATTCTGTGGCGCCATGGATCGTGACGGCTCTGATACCAAATTCTTAGTGTTTTGGGATTGAGAACGGGTCCAGGGACGATTTGGGGTCGCAGGATACCCGGTTGAGGTCGTAACCTGCCGGCTAGGGTTACTCTTCTTCTTGCCTGTGGCTGGAAGAGCGCAGGGGAGGGGAGAGAGAGAGATAGTCCGCGACTTCTCTGGGAATAATTTCTAATGATTGATGATTTTATTATTGCTGAATAAAGAATATAAATAGGCATCCTGCCTTTACATGATAGAGTTCTAGTCTAACTAAAAGGAAATAATAAATAAATAAATTAAATATAAAAATAGCATCAGGATAGATTCCTCTTCCAATTAAACTTCCTGCTGGCCCATATGTTTCCTCCTGCGATAGGGAATTCCATAAAATGCATCCGTAACAATAATGTAGAGTACATATAATGTGAACTGGTAGTCAGGTACATATAATATGTTTGAGTTGTATACAATATATTAGATGCAAAAGAACTATAAACTTATAAAGTATGCATAGATGGCTGGAACTGATGAAACTATAAAAGTAAAGAAAGAAGATGGCTGGAACTGATAAAACTATAAAAGTAAAGAAAGATGATAGACTGAAAGAATAAAATGAAAGGATCAACAAGAAGATAACAAAATAAATGAAAACTACAAGCTGAAAAAGAAAGAAGAAAGAACATGGGAAGCTGATGAAGAAAGAAAGAAGAATGATTTAGAGGCACACAAACATTACCAAATAGGAAAGATGTGACAATTTTAGTGGGACAAAGGGAGTAATGGTTATAAGACTAATACTAATAAAGTAATAATAATAGAAATATGCCCACATCTAGCTAAGAGACATTGAAATACCATAAGTGTGAGATAGGTGAAGGTGGCTTTTCAATGAGGAGATGGATAATATAGACTGTTTGTTCATCAGAGAGGTGTTTAGAAGTCTGGGTCAGTTTCCAATTTTCCATTAGTTGGGAAATATCACACTCCTAGCCTCGCACATGTGTCTCTCTAATTTATGTTATGATGCAATAATTCAAATGGCATTACATGCTTTCCACACATGAATTGCATGTTCTATTTATACTTGGCACATCAATTCACAATTTCTATTTTGTCCATAAATTTGCTCTTGAAGTTGGGTGGATCCAAACTTAGTCTAGAACTCATCTCGTTCTGGAGGGCTGCAATTTGCTAGGTTAGCTTTAAGTATTAAGGCTATTGCAATTTGAGAGATTCTGATAAGCCATTGAGGGTTTCAATTGCCCGTGTTCTTGCTTCATATTGATAAAGTGAATGCAAAACACTTTGAGGAGAAATTTAATCTAAACCTTTATAGAAAAAGGAAATCACTGGATATGATGGCAACTGGTGCCTTCATTCTAGATGGCTGATTTTACTTTTATTAATATTGTAATGGGACATGACTGTATTAACTATCTCAACTCTTTGCTATCTCCTGACAATTTCCGTTCTGGTAAGAAAAAATTTACTGCTCAAGGTTGCAATGGGAAGGGCATCGATCATAAAATTTGCGCCTGCTTTTGCATTATTTCACAGTGGACACTAAATTCTAGGCAAATGCCAACAGTAGCCCTTAGTATGTTGTTTAAGGAATCAAAAGTGGAAAGTTTTTAATCGGAATGCAAATAAATTGCATTGAGATTTGAGACAGCACTCTCCTATGAATTTGGATTAAAAAAAATTAAATTTTAGTTTTCGAACCATTGCCCCAATGGTAACAGCTATGGCAGAATGTCCCTAACTTTTAGGTCATTGTTCTCGATAGCCGGACACCATTAGTGGAAAAATGAAAGCCAGGGATCATAAGTGAAAACGCCCAAGTAGTTGTAGCACCAAACACAGAATATTTTCTCTAAGTTTTGAAGGTTTTTTATTTTGTTAATCCATGCTTTTGTCTCAATCTCACCTTTCGTTTTGTCAAGTGTAGGTACTCATTACAAGTGAATCTCTTCCGGAGAGACCAGGAGAGCCAGATTGCCCTGTAAGCAAACAGCATTTAAGATGATAGTTCTTGTAAATATATCTGATTATTCAAATGATTTCCCCTTATTGTACCTAATTGCCTTGCACACACTTATAGTATTATCTGAAGACTCAAAAGTGCAAGTATGGCATCAGGTGCAAGTTTAACCACCCAAAAGATAAGGTAGTTACTTTGGTAGGGCTATATGACTGGTTCCAGTATCCCATAAAATATGGTAACTTGATTATATTGATGATTTTTCTGTATCGAGTGACTCTTGCTTTAGGGTGCTCTTGGAAATGGTGATATTCCTGGCTTACCTGAAAGACCTTCAGAGCCTCTATGTGCGGTATGGTGTTGCTTTTTGAAGAGTAGTTGTTTAATCTGATAACGCCAAGAATAAGTTATATATGCATACGAAAATATACAATTGTTATAACTGGTTAATGATTCATTGTTAGATGATTTTGACATCTTATTTTCCAGTTTTACATGAAGACTGGAAAATGTAAATTTGGTGCTACTTGCAAGTTTCACCATCCAAAAGACGTACAGATACAGGCTTCTGTTCAAGAAAATCAATTCACTGCACAGACTGGATTGGTTGATAGCATTGAAATGTTCGGGGAAATGAAGCCAACTGTCAGCCCAGCTATGTTGCACAATTCCAAGGGTCTCCCTATCAGACAGGCATTAAACAGTTCACACTATCCTCTTTTTCTTCTTCTAAAGCAAATAACCTTGCTGCTCTAAATTCTAATTTACATGTAGTGAATACTGACTACCAATAGACTCCATTTTTATACGAGATACACTTATAAGGCTTTCAGTGATTGTTCTTTTTTCTTGCAATGATTGAATTTTAGCACTACTTATGGACTCAGTTATTGTTGTGCCCAAAAAAAAGGGCCGTGAAACTATTATTGAAGATAAGGCCTAAAAACGAAGTTCTCAGTAATTAATCTTGTGCTAGGAGGCCGGTTACAAATGGTTAGTGTAGCGTGGTAAAGCTTTACATGCTAAACTTTAAATATTGTGAAGTGTTTTGTTACGATCATATGATTTGACACGTCCAAAATCTGTTATAAGCTTGGTCTAGATCTTAATGTTGTAGTTTTCTTTATATTCAAATACAATCAACTTGTTTTTTTTCCTGTTTTGCTTTACTTTTAACATGTTTTTTCCCAAGTTGCTAGTAGAATACTCGGCTTTAATGATAAGGATCAAATATAGACCCCTTCACTTGTCAAGGAAATATCAATAGAATTAGCCAATTTTTCACTTTAAAGTTGTGCAGTTCGCAGGTCACACACAGGTCACTTGCTGACGACCTTCTAAGTTTTAATTGCACATAATTTCAAATTTCTTTTCCTCTAGTAGTCAATTCCTCCCCTTGGTACGGTTGAGCTTAGTTTAAAAAAGCTGGGCGCAGCAGATTTCAGAGGGCGTACATTTTCATCGCTTTCCTCCCGCTTTTGGCGCATCATGAGGCGTACGCTTCATCTGATCTGGGATTAGGTTTTGTTGCATAAGTGTCATGTGACATGTGGCTATCCAACTCTCTTATGTGTAGTATTTAAATAAGGTGTCATGTACTTCTCAGAGTCCAACTCAATCTCTTCTTCTTTATCAATAAGTCATTCTTCCAGTCTTCCCCTTCTCTCTGCGACTCTGCCCACAGACTTCACATATGAGGTTTCTCTCATTCTCGAGTCTCGACAAGTTATTTTTTTCTCCTTTCTTCTTGGACCTCTCTTAACCAGTTACTGTATTACCTCTTGAGTTAATACAATATTATTCTGCTTCTGCATATGTATTCTGCTCATGAGTTAATACTATGTCTCTTATTATGTTTAAATTTTTATTCTTTCTATTGTGACTAATTTGGGTGTTTACTATGTTTGTTTAATGACTTGTAGTATTTGTTTTGTATTATCATTATTTTTTAGTAGAAGTTATCATGTAGAAATAATACAAATATAGTATAGCAAAGCAAAGTGTCTGAGTTCCAAGAGGCGTGCTCCTCCTTGTGCCTCGGCTAAATGAACAAAAACGCCTCATACTGCCTCATGCCTTTTATAAATTATAACTAAGCTGTGGAGCTCCTATCCCTCCTGAACATTACCTTGAATGTTTTGTTTCGGGTTTCTGCTGCACATACCTATGCACCACGTCACCAACTCTGCATTCATGTGCTGCCATATTCTTGCCGGTTTGCAGCCTTGTATTGATAATCTAGTATAGTTCGCATCTCCACTACATCATTGTCTTTATTGTTTTGAAAAATGGTCCTTGTGAATTGTCGATTCAAGTTTCGAGTGCCTTAGACCTACGAAGCATTTATAAACCAAATATTTAAAGAAATATCATGGTTAACACATGAATATACAAACATGGTGGGTACACAAATGGCTATCACTTATGAGAGGTCAAACACCATACAAACAGCTAAGATCCAGTAGTAAATTGTTGCTGTGTTGCTCGCGCTTCTCCTGGGTGTGGTGAGTTAGTGACATCATCACATCAATGAAGGGGCTATTAAGAGTAGGAGTTTTTGCCGACACTGCACACTGTCGTTGTCTTCACTTTTTAATTTGATATTTTTAGCTGTGGAGATGAATTTCTACATCTGACCATCTGCTCCACATATGGGTAGAAATATAAAAGAAAACCCGTGTCAACTCTACATTATTGGCTAGGAGTAGTTGCTGGATGTGACTGCACAGATTTTGAAAATTGCATATTGTTGTAGTGTAAGATGCCCTTATTGCAGTCTTGTGATAATAAAAGGGGTGTGTTTGACCCCAATTGTTTTTTACCATATGCATGAAAGATCAATTCTGATTTATATTCTATTACAGGGTGAAGTTGATTGCCCTTTCTACTTAAAAACTGGAAGGTTCGCTGACTTTTCTGTGCGCAGTGGTTAATGTTTTCTTTTTGGTAGTTTTATTTTTTTGGAATCACATAATAAGTGTGTTTAATTCACTTTGTTCTCACAAAACAGCTGCAAGTATGGAGCCACTTGCCGTTACAACCATCCTGCCATGTATGGTATGTTGATCTTTTAAAACCTATGCTTTCAAATTTCAAGTATTATTGACCTTTTAGGCGATTTTTATCAATAATGGTACCAAAGGATGAGGGAAATTATGGGGTTCAAGAAGAATAAGACTAGTCGTACCATCTCAACTCTCAACTTCACAAGAAAACAAGATAGAAGGAAGCGATAGGCGTCCTAAAATCGGTTTCTGAAATGCTTGACTTTCATCACGCTTTTTTCCATCATTGTGATACCCCATTTCTCTTCATGCAACCGTGAAGGAAAGGTGAATAACTAAGGAGCATAACCTGAACTTTGGTACTTAATGATGGGGGTGAATTGTGGGAATCAAGAAAAGTATAAAGGTTCATATTGGTTCAACTCACAAGATAGAATGAAGTGATCAACTTCTTGTATCATTTATATATAGGGAAAAGGGTCAAATAGGGCCTCGATCTTACATAAAAAGGTCCAATAAGGCCTTATATAGGTGGCTCTGTCCTGCCGACGCCATTTGGCCATTTGGGGCGATTCCCCATGGAATTTTTTGATGAAATTTTTTGAGCATCTTATTCATTAAGTCTAGTTTACTCATACCAAATTTGATCTAAAACTTCAATAGGGAAGGCATTCAAATGAATTCTTGAAGATAACTGCGTAGTTAAATGCGCAATTATCTTCAAGAATTTATTTGAATGCCTTCCTGATTGAAGTTTTAGCTGAAATTTGGTATGAGTAAACTAGACTTAATGAATAAGATGCTCAAAAAATTTCATCAAAAAATTCCACGGGGAACCACCCCAAATGGCGACGGCCCAACATAGCCTCCTGTATAAGGCCTTATTTGACCTTTTTATGTAAGTTCGAGGCCCTATCTGACCCTTTTCCCTTATATATATCATAGTTGAAGCCTCACTGTTTGCATCTAGGTGCAAGCTATTTATAGACTAACAAGTGCAGATTTTCAAAGAAAATTCTTGGGGAATTAAATAAAATATGCTAAAAAGTAGACACCCTTTACTTCCAAGACAAGTTTTAACATTGTAAATCCCAACAAATTGGAATCTGAAAAATGAGTTGTGATTTATATTCATTGGGAAGTAGGAAGCTATATATTGAGAGTGCGCACGTACACAATTCCGTCCAAGGTCGAGGTTGAGATAGTTGAAGTGAGCTAAAGCCGAGAGGAAGAGGAATTTCCTGATCTATGATTGTTTCGAGAGAGAGGGGGGAGAGGGAGAGAGAGAGAGCCACCGGGAGATGATGAGCGGAAACATTGCAGGATGATCCGATGTCTGAAATACTTTTAAATGCAGACGTTTATGGGTTAATTTCAATTTTTAAAAATACACGCTCATTATTTATAAATTCCACAATATCACTCTATAACTAAAACTTTTTTGATTTAATAAAAAATATTTATGACCGGCCGAATAACTCGCCGAGTAAAAAATTTCCCCGAGTCAAGAAACTCGCCAAGTAACTCCGAAAAATAGGACGGGCAGAGTCGAATTGCTAAACAGAACGGCCACCCCTCGAGTTGTGATTACTCAATGAGTACTCACCGAGTATATAACACAGTTCTCAAGTGTTCTTGTCTCCGGTTGGCACTTTTATACTGTCATTTTCATAATTTCAAAGTTATGAATTGCAACCTTCTTTCTTTGTTCAAGCTTTCAAAATGATGTAAAGCGCAAAAAGACACACACCCACGAGTTTGATTCTCCACCATTTAGAAATTTGCAAACCCTAGCTGCAAAACACTAGCTTTTGTCTGCTACCCATCGTCATCGCCGTTCACCCTCACCATCACAAATCAAATGGAATCAGGCAATCAGCGACCAATGAACGAAAAGAAGAAAGAAAGAGAAGAAGAGCAAGATAAAGAAGAATAACATAGACAATGTTGGTGGAGCCCTAGACGACGGGAAATGTGATGATTGTGTGGGTTGGCGGCGACAGTGGCGCCACGAGAGTGGAAATCGGAGGGACAAGCGGCGATGGTAACCGAAGGGTGAAGCGAGCGTCGAAGAGATCCAAACATGTGAAGTGCAATGTGATGGGAGAGAGAGGTCAAGCACACAGAGGATCATATATGTTTGATTAGGGTTGAGGGGTATGTAATTCAATTGATACATTTTTTAGTCACTTTTTTGCCCAATTAAAACTTGGTGCTATTTTGTTTTATCAAAAGCTGCATGTTCTTTTTTTTCCATTCTTTGAAGAATAATCTTGTCTCCTTTAAGAATAATGGTGATGTATAAGAACGTGTTAACTATCGAGTGATTAAGCTTATGAGTCATACCATGAATCTTTGAGAGTGAGTGACAATCAAAGGTTTTGAAGAAGTGTAGTTATTTCAGAGAATCAATTTTTCTTCATGTCGGGTCGCTCAACAACACAGACCATTCACCTTCTTAGATAACTTGCGGAGATGTATAAAGATATGAACAAGGGCCTGCATTTGGTCTATTGACTTATAAAAGGCGTGTGTAGGATACCTCAAAAAGTCCTTTGGTGGGCATTAGTATGTCAACATCGTCATGAGTATAAGGATTTTACTACAAGTGTTCGTATGACAGGAGGACTGCATAGTTCCCTATGACTATTGGAGTGTACCAAAGATGAGCTCTACATCCTTTCTTATTTGTTATATTTACGAATGGACTCACAAACCCAATTCAGAAAGATATGCCATGGTGCATGATGTTTGCCAATGATATTGCATTGACTGGTGATCATGTGTTAAATCAAAGTAGAAAGTATGGCGACAAACTCAAGAAAGCAAGAGTTTCCGGTTGAGTCGAAACAAAACTGAGTATATTAAGTGAAAATTTAGTGGAGTAAAATCAATGGTAATAGTGGGATTATCTTGGATGGTATGGAGATCTGATCGATGATATGTTCCATTATCTGGATCCATTGTTCAGAAAGACAGTGGATTAGATGGAGATGTACCCCGCATAGTTGGAACGAGGTGCATTTCTACTCACCTATACTGCACTTGTATGGTGAACTTCTAGTGGCAAAAATGCAGTGACAATTTTTGAAGTATTTTTACAAACGTGAAAAAATGCATCACTGGAACAAAAAGTGCACCATAGCGCTTAAAAGTAAATATTTCACATTTCACATGTTAAACACCCTTTTTAGGCTGACTTCTGAAAAGCACTTTTCCAAAAGGCAATTCTGTAAAAATCATCACATTGGTGCTTTAAGTTTGAAGAATGTTTTTAACTCAATAAAAGATTAAGAGCTAGTAATTGTATAATTTTAATTAACAATTTTTTTATGACAATAAAAGTGCCAAAGTATTAACTACGTGCTGATGTAATGTGTAGAGACTTAGATCAGCAGACTGCCAGACGTATACAGTAGAGCTAGTAATTGCGGTTTTATGCTTTTCTCTTGTAATGCTTGTGTATATTGCGTTTGCTTGATGTCACTTGGAATCAAGTTTTCATGGTATAAGAGCCTTACATTTAACAGGACAGATCCCAAGTGTTATAAATATATACCCAAACAAATTTTCTATTCTTCTTTGCTGCTAGTTATTTGCTGATTTGTTATGCATGCATGTATGCATTGTTTACAGCAATTGATCCAGCTGCTTTAGGACATGCATTTGCAGGTTCTCCTGCAGCTCATCTGAATATTGGGGTTGTTAATCCAACAGCCTCACTTTTCCAAACATTCGATCCTAGAATGACTCAAACAATGGTGAGTCCAATATCCGTAATTCCTCTGCTATGCAATCTATATCTCGACAGGTTTAGTTTACTGGTGTGAATATATAGTTTTGATTTCTGAACTTGCATTGCATGTTGGCCTTCTGTTCTATCTTGGTCTTTGTTATTTTTAACTTGCTTGAAAATGGATTTTCACGTGGAGTACTCCCTCCGTCCCATTTTACTTGTCTTACTTTCTTTTTTGGGTTGTCCCAAAATAAGTGTCACATTTCCCTTTATGGAAAGAAATATGTGGTTCACAACATTTCACTTTACTCAAATCTCAACCACAACTTTTACCTTTTCAAACACTTTATTAAAGATTATGCCAAAACTAAAGGAGACACATAAAATGGGACGGAGGTAGTACTATTTAACTTTTCCATGACGTCCCTTGAACTTTACTATTGGCTGTAGTTTGATAGTTTCATTAATCTGTAGAACTAATGTCTCTGTTACCTATAATAATAACCAGAGTGTTTGCTCTTTGGTTATTTTCAGAGTTTCTGATGACATCTTTTAGTATTTGTTTTTATTACTGAGAAATTATTATGTTTTTGTACTGCAGCTTGGATTGACCACAGGTATCTATCCACAACGGCCTGGGCAGTTAGAATGCGATGTATGTACCACCATGGTTTACTATCCAGTTTTAAATTATACTTGATCCAGTCTTTATACATGTCATAATTTATTTGCAATACAATGCATGAATCTAGTTAGTAGTTCCAGTTCGCATATTTTCAATTATAGGCAATAACGTACTTTTCCTATGTTCTTTGTTTATATTCGTATTTACTCCTGTTGTATAACCAACTACCGTTTTAAATGAATTTTAACTTCATACTATTTAAAGACTGTTACAGTGCTTATATAGAAAAATAATGGGGTTGAATCCAATCGGAACAGGAAACTAAACTCTAAGGGGGTGTTTGGCATTCAGCGGTTAGCGTATAGCTGGTTATGTTAGCGGGTTGTCAATAGCGGATTCAGTCAGCGGGTTTGACTAGCGAAATAAATTGGCGGGTTGTTAGAAGATGTTTGGTTATTTAGCGGTTTGGTCATAAAATTAGTAGAAAACGCCATTTTTCAAAACGCCAACCCAAAACTCTCCTATTAGTAGCGTTTTCATCTCAGCGTTTTCGTCCAAAAACGCTAGTGCCGAACTGCTATTTACCAAACGGCTTTTTCACTAATTGGAAACGCTGAAAGTGGTCAAACCGCCATTTTTCGGCTGAAACGCCATTTACCAAACACCCTCTAAACCTAATTAGACTATAACACTATTATAAGAGTGATAATTATATTTCTATATGTGGTGTTTTTTATAGTAGGGAGAAGTGGAGATGTGTAAAATGTTGTTATGTGTTTGACGTGGAAGCCATGTGATTGTGGCCCCTAGAATCTGAGTGTTCACATACCACTTGTTGGGGTCTGTTTGATGGGAGTAGTGGAGATGTGTGGAAAATGTGTTGTGATTTTATTGATTTGTTTTTGTTTTATTTTTTGATACACCAAACTGATTTTCCAGCAGCATATTCATAGGCTGGATTGATTATTCTAGATTTTCTAAAATTTCCCAAGTTGCATGCTTCAGTTCTGCATTTCCTATTTTCCGTACTTTAGCCCCTTACACGGAAGAAAATCATTGAAAAATCTTGACGCGTGTGGACTGTGGACTAATGTTGTCAGTATTTATGTGGCATATGCGGATAGGAAAGTTGCTCGGTTTCTTGACAGTGCACCTACAAATCAAGATAGGTGCACTGGTCAGTACTGAAATGAATAGGGCTGGGTTCCTAGACTATATGTTAGGATTTGGGCTTTAATGCAATGTTGAGTAACGTTCTATTACCTATATCATGATGACATTTAACCTACCACATTCTAAATTCTAAAGGAAATGTAAACCATAATATTACAACAATTAGGACAACTGCACTTCGATACTTGATATTATCTGCACTTGGACTTTTCAAACATATTCCACCTCCAGGGCTACGTCTTATGGTATCTAAAATGGTAGAATAGTAAATTTAGGCTATTTTGTTTTGGCCGACACTGCCTTCTATTGTCTCTTTATCTACATGACACGCAGTTCTACATGAAAACTGGGGAGTGCAAATTTGGAGAGAGATGCAAGTTTCACCACCCTGTTGATCGTTCATCACCTGTTGCATGCACAATGGATGTCCAGCAACAAAATGTTAAGCTTAGTCTTGCAGGGCTTCCTAGACGGGAGGTACGCACTATAAAATATTCCACAGCTACACATGTCTTTGTATCTTTTACTAGGACTTTTTTATAGTTATGTTCATCATTTTGGCAGGGTGCTATACATTGCCCATTTTATATGAAAACTGGAACATGCAAGTATGGAATAACATGCAAGTTTGATCATCCTCCGCCAGGGGAGGTCTTGGGTGCAACTTCACTAGCTGAAGAGCAGTAACAAACTTTTTTGGCTTCACTTGGTGAAGAGCAGCAGAGGGATTGTCAACCCTTGACCACCAATACTTCGAGGGAATTAATTGTTTAAGATTTGTTTGAAGACGACTCTTATTTCTTTTAGTTTTCAACTTCTTAGGTTTGATTTACTATGATGTATTCCTCATGTCCTTGTATAAGTGAAAGTGTACTTGGTTGGTCCTCTATAGTTTGTATGGAGGATTGAGTACTTCTGTTAATGTTGTATTAGTTGCCTGATACTTTATGCCACGTTAGTTGCATGATGTTATACGGCCCATACCTAGGGGTGGACTCGGGTCGGGCCGCCCAGCCTGGCCCGGTACCCCGTCTTGGGGATGGTTCGGGCCAACCGGAACCGGTCTAATCCTGGTGCGGGCTCGGGCCCCCTAAAATGCGAACCGGCCCGGCTGGGCCCGGTTCGGGCCAATTTTTTTTTTTCAATTTTTTTTTACTTTCTACCGGGTTGGGCTGGGTGTTTGGGGGGGGGGGGTGAAGGGGGGAGGTCGGGGGTTATTTAGTTAATCAAAAGAAATTAAAATAAATAAATAAATTGAACCGGCCTAGTGTTGGACTCGGATTGGGCCACCCGGCCCGGTACTGTGCATGCCCAGGACCGGCCCGGTCCAGCGGTCTGGGACCGGGTGTATACCCGAACCGGGGGGAGCAGCGGGGGGTAGGGTTGTATATGAACTGAATCGAGTTGAATAGTAGGATTTTGTATTTGTATTTGTTTAATTTTTTCGAATACGAATTCGAATTCAAATATTAAATGAATATTAATTTCGATTTGTATTTGTATTTCTTTAACAATACGGATAGTTAACAAATCTTATACGAATATCGAATAGATTTGAGCATAGGTTAAATATTAGTCAAATGTCACTTAAAATTAAATTCTCTTATATTTTTTTATGTTGTAAATGTACGCTATGATTTAATGTGTTTTTAGAATTTAAATTCAATAGATCAATGCATTTTTAGATTGTGCACCATATACTAAAGTGAATCAATTTTGTGATTAATAAATATAAATCTATTTCAAACTTTTTGAAATAAACACTAACATATTATAAACTACACTTATAATGTGTGAAATAAGTTGATAATTGTATATATCAAAGTCAGATGACTCTAATTTTATTAAGCGAATCGAATACATAATTATTTGTATTGTTTTTGAAAGACATTTGAACCAAAAATCTGATTTGTATTTGTATTTATACTCTGATTTATTACAAATGGACTTAGAATTTGTATGCGTAAATATATGAACTACACTTTAGAGTATTGCTATTTTTTAAAAGTTATTATAGTGTTATTACTATTATTATTAATATTATTATTATTAATATTATCAATATTATTAATCGAATACACTGATATTCTTATTTGTATTTGATAACAAATCGAATCAAATTTAATATTCATATTTTTATTTGTATTTGAATTTTCCGAATTCGAATCGCGAATCGAGCACAAATTATTTGATTCGTTTACAACCCTAACGGGGGGGCGGGCTCAGTGGTGGACTCGGGTCGGGCCACCCGGCCCGTTACTGTGCGGGCCCAAGACTGGCCCGGTCAGCGGTCCGGGTATCGGGCTTTGACCCGGCCCGAGGGGGAAAACGGTACCGGGCACGGGTAGGCCTATTTGAGACCCGGTCGGTCTCAATTCTCAATTGTAATTTGTAAACTTGTACTTCATATTTCAAATAAATATGCGTTCATTTTTTCATATGAAGCACTTCTCAAATTAATTAATTGGTTACAAATTTACAACTTACAATTTACTTGAAAATGTATTTCATATTGTATTTTTTTTCTCAATTCTCAAATTTAGTTCTTATTTCAAATAAATGCACTTGAACTTTGTTTTTAATAAACATTTGTATAAACTATAAACTAAAACAAAAAATTTCAACTGACCCGGTCCGGCAGATGGCCCGACCCGTGACCCGGGCGGGTGGCCTGGCCCGAACCGGCACCGGCCATAGCACGGGCCGGTCCCGGGCCTCCTTCAAAAAACCAGAGGCCTGACAGGGCCTAGGCCCGGCCCGGGTCCAAGACTAGCCCGACCGGGCCCAAGCCGAACCAGCCCGGCCCGGGTCCACCCCTACCCATACCTAAAGTTTAGGGTGTCCGTGAAAGTATCAGGGTTGTATGTTTCCTGGGTATTCAAAACAACCTGATAGGATTAGTATAAGGTCTACAACTATCCTATTTACGGGGAAGGTGATAGTGTGATACCAAGAGATAAAATATACACATACAGAGTGTGAATTTTGGAATTTGGAGTAATGGGCAGGATCAGCTATTGATGCTGATCATTCATTCGATCCAAAGCCCAAGGGCAGCTTAGTCAGGCTCGGAACACAAGTTATCTAGGAGAACTGTAGAAGATAGGCATGCATCCAGTTCTAGGTAGTTTGATTTTGGAAAGTTTGACTGGCACAAGGATTAAGAAAGAATAGAAATTGGCATTTACGTTCCCATTTTTTCACATGAGGCAGAGAACAAACACAGAAATTGGGAAAATAACTTTTTTAAAGCAAGTACATATTTTGTCTGATGTGCATTAGTGCATTACTGTGTGTCTTTTACATGGCTTATGGGAAAAAAGTGAGACGGGTGAACGCTAATGGTGAGGCTGGTCGTTGGCGTTCAGTCTTTGTCCAAGAGCATCTCCACCATCTTTGACAGATTCGTCAAGCCTTCAACTGATTGACTATTTGACTGCCGTCTGTGGCTTCAATAATCAATAGTTCGACCTGCGGCTTCAATTGTTCGACCCGTGGCGCAAGTATTTGGTTCAAGTAAGGATGTTTTTACTTGGACTCTAATGAGACCGAGCCAGGGAGGTTTGGTTTTGATTTTTCTCCGAAGAGATGCCCCTTCATTTGTTCGTCTTTAAAAGGAAATTGAATGGAATTAGGCCTCGGAGAAGTTGTGAGACTCCGTGTGCTTCGTATGGGAATGTGGAAGAGAAAGTGGGTGGCAGTGATTAGAGAAGGTGGGTGGAAATGATGATGGCTGGGACAGAAGATTAGAAGGCTGAGGGCAAACTTTTCAATTTAGTTGCATTTCTATACTTAAATGGAAAGCGAAAATTCATTTTGAGATAATCAAAAAAGGAAAGTTTGCAAAACAAATTGGGACGGAGGAAGTATAAGCCTACTAATTAAGTATACATGCACGCAAACCAACATCTAGTGACAACTTTATGTACACGTGACACATCTTTTGTTATTCGAAAAGTAATTGTTCGTTTTCTAGTTTTAGTTTTATTTAATTTTAACGAACAATGTAACTAGATTTACTTTTGCATTTGATTTTATTTTATCAAAATCATGTCAATATGTCTCAAACTCTTATTTAGTTTTTATCTTTTCGACCCTTTTAAACCTTTTTATCTCCCCAAATGAATCAGTTCAAATACATGTCTATAATTTTAAGAAAATTTCCAATATTGTTAACATCATATCGTATGGGACTACCCGACTTGAATCCGCGGCCCGTTGGGTTTGGAACAACAATTTCACCTAATTCCTCTACTTAATGTTGCGTTTCTTTTAGATCTTGGTTTTTAACTTGCTAGTTATGAAACATTTTAGAGTATTATTATAGTTATTTTTTCGGTGATATTTTACTAATGTGCGAATACAAGCTCATTGATGTTCAAGTCGAATTTCTTGATGTAAGTATTTTATTCCATAATTCATTTATAGATCTTATGCAAAATGTGGATATACTTCTCCAAAAAAATGTATTCTTCGTCTAAGGGAAGAGGACTTTTTGAAAGCACGATAAAAAGTCTCAAAGAAATTAATTAAATTCACTTTTAGTGTTGCACAATGAGCTTTATTTGTATCTAGTATTTTCTTGGAAGTATGAATAAAGTGAGGAGTTTGATGTACTCAAACTCCATGTTTATGACATTAGCAGTAATGGTGAAACAAGTATTACCCATGTCTGTAACGACTGTTGTGGTTGAACAAAAATATAGTGGCGCTGATAATATTCAAACCGACTATGGGACTCAATTGAGCGAAAACTCAATTGAAACGTTAGTTTATTTTTATGATTGATTAAAAGTAAGACATTGTACGCAAAATGAAATATTGCACCGACATAATATTTTATGGGGCGATGAGGCGAGTGATAGGCAGATAGTGACAATGAATGGATGTTGTAAGCTTTTACATTTTCAATGTCAATACTTGTATCATTTATGTATTTTATCAAGAGAACTATTTGGCTTTGGTTTCTCTACAATTATAAAAAAAAGAATACATAGGCAACTTTTATTCTATGTGCAAGCCTTCTTATTATTAAAAAATATATATGTAATTTGTAAAACATGAGTTAACAGTTAACACATCACTTTAATTCGGAAAATACCTTGTGGTTCCTTAGCATCACTATGCACACCCATGTCAAAGACTCAAAGGCTCGAATCTCATTATCAGTTCAAAGATGTTGGTTTTAACATACAACAAATACCACAATAGATTAGAAAGCTCAACGAAAATAATTACCTCAATTCCTTTAACATATTTGCACCTTTGACTATTACTACCTTCATTTCGTTGAAAGGTTCTCATTGTAAAATTACACGGTAGTAATGGAGTTGATGGTTATAACTGTGACGTTATACATGTATTATTTTCAATATTTGATGATTAAGTTATCATTTAAGAGTGTTACTTATTTTACTAAAATACAAATGAGAATCTTTATGTAGATGTCCAAAAAAATGACAACCTTTATAGGGAACGAGAGAGTGCTTGTTACTATTATTTTAAAATGCGTGTTATTTAAGTTATTATTGTTGGTTGTTTTTTTTTGTAATAAATTGTTGGTTGTTAATATTTCCATTTTGAATTCAAAATTCAAATAATATAATCGTTGAGGTCGTACATGGAACATTTATTGGTTTATTGTTTAAATCCGATTTATATAACTCTAATAAATAAATTCATTATATAATACTTCCTCCGTTCTTTTTAGTTGGAACGGTCAACATTTCACACTTGCCAACACACGTCTTTGGCCGTAATTATATCTTAATCTCTATTAGTAAAAAATATTTAAAAATTAGATTTTGAAAATTTGTAATGAGATGAATTGAACACAATTTTTTTTTAAATAATAATTTTCATAAAATAATAATATAAAATGTAGTCAAAGTAGAACATATGAATAGTGTAAAATTCAACATGTTGCGATTAAAAAGAGACGGAGGATAGTATAATGCACACATGTTTACTCATAACATTTCATAAAAAATTACTACGTATACTCATAACATTTCATAAAAAATTACTACGTAAAAATAATGGGACAGGCCAGTTTGGAACCGGCCAAGAGCACCAATCTCGGTTCACCCCACCCCATGACCAGAATAACCAGATGGTCTGGGACCGAACTGGCCCGAAAGTGGACTGGATCCATGCCTAATCACACAAAGTGGCATGATCCTACTGTCATAGAATGCATGTTTTTTGAAGGAGCACGTCAAAAACGAGTCAGTTGACAGGGTGCTCATCAATGGTTAGGATGAAAGTCACAGCGGTGCGCAAGGTCAGGGTAGCCGGTGATCATCCTCCGGTCTCCGGATCCACATATCCGGAAGGAGAATATCTTACCAATGTCTATGTGACTGTGTCTATGTCCCGTAAATTACTCAGAATATTCAACCTCGTTTAAGTGCAAACCATAATGCATTACAATCTCTGTCACAGAGAATAATGAACATCATTTCAAGTGCGAACCATATTCCATTACAATATCTACCGTGTTTAGAATCAACAAAAACGAAAAATCAAATTTAAACAACAGTCAATATTTTCAAGGCATCTATGTTTTCACATCATAACCACTGTATGGCCACATAATGAAGATAAGTCTTCTAGTGTCCCCCTGGATTACGATTCCAGGATAGGTAAGATGGGTCACCAAGTTGCCTGCACAAACGGATTAATATATCAACTGCTGTAATCAACTTTAGCCATAACTCCCACTATTATATTAATAAATAAATAAAAAACTCAATTCAATGAGGCTGGTGCAAGGAATGTCCACACATGGGGTGAAATGCAAGGAAAACTTCATGAAGTGATTTAGAACAAGCAACATTTGGTACAGTGCACTGTGCACATTTCAATCACAAACACCATGAGCTCGGGAAAATACTATTTATTTATTTATTTATTTTTTGTGGGAAAAATGAATAGACCATAAAGGAATGGAACATATTCTTAGTGGTACTAAAAAGTGTTTCCCTAAGACAAGGTAAGAGTGGTTTCCAAAAGCCGGAGATGGAGAAGTGCATTCTTCTGATATGATGGAATAATAAGCAGCACCTCATTATCGTTATCACGCTAAACATCGAACTTTGTATCCATATGGTAGTTAGATTTTCAAAATGCAGCTACGGTTTATGTTTCTTATTTATAGGGGCACGGGAAGGCCTACGGTCAAGCACAAGTAGAGCTCATTGCAGCTATGATTAGATAGAAAAAGTTTAAAACTAATGGTTGGAAGATATGTTCAGGTAAGAAAAAAAGACCATACCTTGGCTTAACAAGATATATGAGTGTGAAAACCATAGCCAAAAAGAAGCACAGGCCACCGACTGTGAGGTATGCAATGCCTAGGAAATCATTTTTTCCACCCAGCCAGCTAGTCGTAGAAAGCACAAGCTTCTTCTTCCCATTGAAACTATAAGTATTGTAATTATTCTTCAATACGACTTCAATCACATCATTTGCATTAAGATCCACCTCTATCCTCCCATATAATTTCCTAAAGGTTGGAAGAGCAGCAGTTCGCATCCAAACAATTAGGTCCTCCTGGTCACTCAACTGTTTATTTGAATCAAGGAGCCAAGGTAATTGAATGAGCCGCAGAAAGAAATTTGCATTGCATTTCGAAAAGAATTTGGACTATAACACTCCCCATCCCTAAATAAACACCTCTGAAAAAGAATCCCAACATCTCAAAGAAACTCAGTTTTCATTGTGTGAGGAAGATAATATGTTTTCTCCAGATATTTCAGATTCGGAAACAAAAAAGAAATGCACACAGCATACTTGGACTATTAAACTATCTTTCTTTGAAAATAGAATAGCAGAGAAAAAACAAAAACAAAAACAAAAGGTGCCAGCTCTTACAGGCTTCTTCGTGTCAAGAGTCCCGCCCCCGACCAGAGACCCATTCTGAAAATTCTCTGGGAAAACATTTTTACCAAACTTATGGTCTCGGTCACTCTTCCATGATATCTCACTTTTGTTTACAGTCAGGTTCAGCTTGTTGCGGGAAAAGCTGTATGTATCGTTAAACAAACTCCAGGCAATAAGGCCACAGGGAACTATTGGAGCCCCATTTGAGGAATCTTCAGGCTCACAAGTACTGATTCTATCCTTGCTGCCTTTATCCTTTAGTTGTTGATCACTTCGGCTCTTAACATACCTGAAAAAGATTTGAACATGTCAGAAAAATATATGATGGTAACATATAATACTCCATATAGTTGGCATTAGCAACTAAAGTTTTACATAGGGGGATAAAGAATATAGCAACACAGCCAAACACCAACAGAAATGGAGTAACTTCTAAAACAATGTAGCAGCAACAAAATCAAGATAAGCAGTCTCAAGCACCTGCGATGATTTTGATAGAAATTGTCAAGTTGGTAATAAACATAAATAGGCTGCTTCATATGCTTCGTGACCTATACCATTCAAAAACCAAAGCAAATATTATGTTGTGCATTTTGTGTCTCAAAACTTCAACCTGGCCAGCAATGAAATAAAGATGATCTGATCGAACAAACGTACTACCGCATTTGAAACAAATAACATCACCACTCCCCGAGAGACTTACCGTAATCTTCCTAAGGCAGGTTTTATCTAAAGAACTTTGTATAAACTGCACTTCATTCCTTGAATAATTGCTTGGTATGCAGTCAGCTTCATAACGATCAACAATCTCTACAACCTGATGAAAGAACGAAGGAAAAATATAGCTTACATGAATCAATCTTTACCTTTAGTTTGTTTCTCATTCTATTAAAGATTCTTTTTGTTTTTAAGCGGGGTGCTTAAAGGTCAAAGGGGAGGGGGTGAGTAATACAGTAAAAATCATGTAGCGAATTTCGAGCATACATCCCGAGAGGCAAACAGGGAAACAACTCCTATGGGAATGAAGACAACACTGACAAGCAGAAAAGCTGAGATAACCTGGATTGCACAACGAGTTCAGAAATTTTCTTAGTAGACAGTTGTTAGCAGATCATTCACATGGGATGAATTAACAAAATGAAGCTTACCCATTTTGGCGTTAATATAGGCTTGCAAGCAGGAAGTTCCTGTTGTGTAAACCTTGAATCTGTAACAGAAAAAAAACTATTATTGTAATCCTATCATTCATATTTTCCATGTAATGCAATCATTACAAGTAGATGCTGCTCATTATGATCAAAATGATTATATACTCTGACAAACGGATGGATATAAAAGTCAGAATTTACAAGGGAACGATCACTTGATTAATTAATTATCATACAAAAAATATGTACTTCTGGCGGGTATCTTATTAATACAGTTTATGTCCAGAGAGCTGTCAGATCTAAATATTTGTAAAAGCCATAAAATTAGTGCATATAGAGAGTAAAGCATTTTGAGAGTGGATTACACTTTACCAGTTAGACTAGTAAGAAGGAGCAGAATAGAAGGGACAATTAGAAAATCTCAGATCACCAGGTGCATGATGCCTGGTAAATATATTTTAACAGTACACAAACAGTTGAATGGCTAATTTTAAGATATAGAGAAAAGGAAACTGTTAGGTCACATCCTAAGCTACACAAAAATGGAACCTAAATATACCAAATTAACCTGAGAATCTGAGATAGGTTGACTCACTGATTAACAAACAGGAAGGATTTTACAATAATCATCATAATCTACACAAATAGTACCTCATACGTCATTTTTTAAAAACAAATATCTACAGTAAAAATAAACTGACGATAGAAATATCATGGGCTGAGGCTAAGGCGCTTAGCAGCGTATAATCGGAGCAGAAAGACACTATATGCTATTTGTCAATCAGAAAAGTGAAACGATAGAGATAAAATCCTGAAGAGGGATGAATAAAGGTAGCGAGCTAATAAAGACACACATCCTAAATGAGAGTTACTGGGAAGGAAGGCATCATTAGCATACACTTTGGTCGCTTGGAAGTTCTTCTGGCTGCAGGATTGTCGGAAGATCCGGGGACGGCTGCGCTTGATGAGGGAGCGTTGGAGCTCATAACTGGAGTATATTCTTCTGAGCAAACAGAGCTACGTGGAATTCGGAATCCGGCCAAGTTGAGGAAGGATTGGAAGGGCACAAGGGGTGGGATTTGCTGCAAATCGTGGAACTATTTACCCTGTTCTTAAAGAGCGAGCGAGCGAGCGTGCGAAAATTAAAGCAGTAGACTTGTGGCAGACTCTTTCTTCTTCTTCTTCTTCTTCTGGAACCTCTAGATCGAAGATGAGAATCTGCAGATGGGAAAGTCTTTCAACAACTGCTCCTCTCCCTCCGCGCCTGAAAAGGAAGAACCGTTGAATAATAAAATGAGGTGCAACGAAGAACCAACCGGTGGTCAAATTACGCAGCCCTAACACGGTTTGACCAACGTCGCACTGGACTAATCAACTTCTTCCATTCGTCCCACAATGTTTTTTCAATTTTGCTGGTACCTCAATCCTCACACATATTTACCTCACTCACTTCCCCATTTAAATAGGTCCTTGAACTGACTTAAAGTGTTCAATTAGCCCCTTAGCCTCAGCCCATGATAGTTCAAGGGTCAAATAGGTCCTTGAACTGACTTAAAGTGTTCAATTAGCCCCTTATATAGGAGGTTTTGCTCGGCCGTCGCCAATTGGGGCGGTTCCCGGTGGAATTTTTTGATGACAATTTTTGAGCATCTTCATCATTAAGTCTAGTTTACTCATACTAAATTTCAGCTAAAAATTCAACCGGGAAGGCAGTCAAATGATTTTTTGAAGATAACTGTGAAGTTAAACAGCGCAGTACATTTCGGAAAATCATTTGACTACCTTTCCGGTTGAATTTTTAGCTGAAATTTGGTATGGGTAAACTACACTTAATGAAGAAGATGCTCAAAAAAATTCATCAAAAAATTCCACCGGGAACTGCCCCAATTAGCGACGGGCCGGGCAGAACCTCCTATAAAAGGGACTAATTGAACACTTTAAATCAGTTCAAGGGCCTATTTGACCCTTTAGCCTTTAAAATTTGAGTCCTGTTTGGGGTATCCCAATTTGTACCTCAATCTGTACACTGTCTGTGTACACAGACATTTGAACAGAAAATTCTGCCCTCTTTCAAACGAATTGCCTGCGTACACAGGCAATTCAAGAGGGTGGGTACAAAATGAGGTACATTTTGGGGTACCTGTAGAATTTTTGTTAAAATTTTTACCCCCAACTCTCCTCTTCCTTCCAAAACTTCAGACCACCCCCTACATACTCCCCACACTCCCTTGCGACTCCGAACAACCCAAAACCGAATAGCCCAGAATCGAGCATCTCGCAACAACACCGGCCAACACCTTCTCCTAGGCCTGTCAATGGGTCGGGTCTAGACCCGGACCCGGCCCGGACCCGGTTGTTTTTAACGGGTATGGGTCCTTATTTTATTCCGTTTACCCGGACCCGAACCCGGACCCGTTAGTACTTTTAATAAACGGGTCGGGTATGGTACATATGATTTTGACCCGTTAAGGACCCGGACCCGTTTAAAATTTCTTATTAGTATGTATATATATATATAGAGGAATGTTCATGTCAGGCCGGCCTGACGGGCTGCCCCGTCCGGCCGAGCCCGTTTGGGCACCTTCCCGGTGGAATTTTTTGATGAAATTTTTTGAGCATGTTCCTCATCAAGTCTAGTTTATCCATACCAAATTTCAGCTCAAAATTCGATCGGGAAGGTCGTCAAATGATTTTTTCAAGTTAACTGGTCTGGAATATGTATTTTCCGGACCAGTTAACTTGCAAAAATCATTTGACGACCTTCCCGATCGAATTTTGAGCTGAAATTTGGTATGGACAAACTAGACTTGACGAGGAACATGCTCAAAAAATTTCATCAAAAAATTCCACCGGGAAGGTGCCCAAACGGGCTCGGCCGGACGGGGCAGCCCGTCAGGCCGGCCTGACATGAAGAGCACTCATATATATATATATATACATACACACACACACACACACACACACACACACACACACACACACACACACACTAATACATAAAGAGATTAGTTATAATACTTCAAATAAAAATACAAACTAATCTACGAGTATATAAAGTGATTAGTAGTACAAATTAATGCATACCCAATGTTTAAGTGATAATATAATAGTATATAATATGCTTTTAGTCCAACAGAACATTTTGTAACCTAATTTCTAGTCTAATATACGAGTTTTCTGTGGGAGAGAAAGAGACACAAAGTGATATCTTTTTAGACACAAAGTCCTAACATTTTGTGCACTTTAATTTACATTTCATATACATGTTTTGCTATTTTTTTAAAAATTATATAATGTTGTGCATATGATACTTGGCGGTCTACCCGACCCGGTTCCGAGACCCGTTGGGTCCGGGTACGGGTCCAAATTTTTAGACCCGCCGGGTAAACGGGTCGGGTCCGGGTCTGGAACACTACGTTCCGGCCGGACCCGACCCATTGACAGGTCTACCTTCTCCCATCTCACCCTCACCTCGTCTCACTCTCCCCTCTTTCTCTGTTTTTTTCCGTTTCCAACAGAGAGCTACAGTCCTAGAGCGAAAGGGGGTCATCCTTGGACACCATTTGCAAGCCTCTTCAATGGAGTTGAGCTACAGATTGTCCGCAGACTTCCCCTCAGTATGCCTCTTTCTCCCTTTTTTCATGAGAAAATTGCTCTTTGTAGGACTAAATCAATGCAAGTTTACAAAAATAGGACTTCATCATGTTTTTTCCATCCGTATGTCTAATTTTATTCTATTTCAAGAAACTTTATTACTACTTTCCGATTTTACCCTTCATTTTAGTATTTCATATTAAAACTAATAAAATAGCTTCTAGCTTCCCCAACTTCCCTATCGCTCCTGCTTCGTAGACAGCTGGGTCATATTCACCGGTACTAAAGTCTTGATGCATCGACCTGAAAGCTTGAAATTGGCATGGTTTCACCAAGCGACGGTGACGTGCGGCTTCACCCGGTGCTCCGACTTCACCACAGTGCTCATCTCTCCGCCAAAGGCGGTCGCAATCACAACCCCTTTACATCTCTGCTGGCTTTAGTCGGTTTTGATGGATACATCGGCTGCCTTGCGCCAGAGATCGACTCCAGAGTCTATTGTTGCGCAATTGACAATTACACTCCCACCAACATTCCGATCTTTAGAAATCAAATAGAAACATTCTAGGGGCATCATAAATGGCCATGGATGATGAATGAGCTGGTGTTTGCCAATAATATGCACGCCCTAGCTAGGGATGTGATTTAATCGCTCTACCAATTAACCTTTTGATCTGCAATGACCTATGCAGACTCATTGCAGAGTTTCTCAACAACCTTTCGAGGTAATTTCATCATGGGAGATTTCAACAAATAGGACCAAATCATAAGCCCTTCCTCCCAATTTCAAGGTCAAGTTCAATGTCCTCCCAGTTTTACATTATCTGCTCTGCTATTGAGCTATTACCAGAATTTATTGTCTGTTTAATGACTACTTATTGTTTATGTATTGTCTGCTATTGAGCTATTATTAGAACTTATTGTCTGTTTACTGACTACTTATTGTCTATGTATTGTCTGGTGTTTGTAAGTTTGATTCTGGATCTGGTTTCTTCACAAGTTTTGCAGGGTACCTGATGCCCTTGTGAAAATATGAAATAGATGTTCGAAATTGGCAAAATCAATGTCAAAAATAAAAAAAGAAGAAGAAGCTAGAAGAAGAAGAAGATGATGAAGATGAAGAAGATGATGAGGACTAAGAACAAACCTGTGGCGGAGCAGCTAATGGTGAAATCAGCACTGGTGGTGATGCCGGTCGTCGGTTTCTCAATTGTGAAGTCCTCTTCACGATTTGTGAAGTCGGGTCGGTGAAGTTTGTGCTGCTTTGTTTGATGCGCAGGGTTATTTAATCAGGAAGGGCAATTTTGTCAAAACATGTGTACTTTGGTCTTATGCTAATCTGAAGTCTTAATTTTAGAAAATTAGTATGATTTGGTCCTATTTGTTGAAATCTCCCTTTTTCATCTTTCTTCATTTTTTATTATTTATTTTTTAATTCATGCGTAATACTCCATATATCTTGTAATGTTGAATGGTTGAATATTTTGTGTTATTGTGATGGATTTGTGATGTTTATTCTTAAGATTTTAGTCCAACTATTCTAGGTCATTAATATGCCCATAACATGTTTGTTGAAATGCTTAAATGAATTTTTTGTTTATGTCCTCTTATGTTTTAAGGATTTTGGATTGTTTTTTTTTCTAGTATAAGTTTCAACTTTAAATTGTGCATATTGGGAATGTTTTAGATAGTAAGTATTCCAAACCTTGAGTGGTTTGAGTTGTCTGTATTTGTTTTTAAGACTCGTGAAGTTGTCTGTCATTTGCAAAATAGAAGTCTGTACTTGGTATTTAATTGAATTGCATGTCTTTTGCTTGTTAGTTGTCTATATTTATTTGAGTTGTCCGTAATGACTTGTCTGTCATGTTGTTGTGAGGAGTCGGTAAGAGTTGTGAAGTTGTCTGTCATTTTAAAAATAGATGTCTGTAATTCATATTTAGTTGTCTGTCATTTTAAAAATAGATGTCTGTAATTCATATTTAGTTGTCTGTGTTAAGTGTTCTAAATGTCTGTCTGTGCTTTATTTGTCTATCTACAGATCCGGAGAATGTACGTTATGGTCCTATCATTTGCAGAGCAGTTGCTATTGGGAATGTTATTGCTTCCTCATGATGACTACGCCAACATGTCAAACAAAATACTTTAGTTTGCTATTGGGTTTTGGTGCTTGAAGAAGGCTGGAATATAGAATTTTGGGAAAATGTGTCGGTTTTGAACTTGTGATTTTTTGAACATGTATTTTTTACAAACATTACATATTACAGTTGGAGAATGTGTCGAATGTTGTACAATGTTGAACAATCGGATTGGTTTTTTTGAACATGTGTGAGTTTTGGCAAACATAACATGTACAATTATCAACTTATGTATGTTGATCTTTTGTCTGTCTGGGTATTCATTGTATTGCCTGTATGTGTAAAGTTATTGTCTCTCTGCGTAAAAATAATGTCTGTCTAGTCATCTCTATTGTCTGTTGTTGAGGTTTAATCCCGAAGATCCGAAAGCCCAACACACGCTTTGGATATTTTAAGGACGTTAGGTTGGTTTGGAAAGTGTATGAAAATATAAAACAGTGAAATAAGATTCAACTCAGGAGCTAACTTGTATTCAGTAATTCTGTGATTACACTGAAACAACCTGAACGGTATGTAAGTACGAGAATACAAGAATAAGAGAAGTAATTCTATCTGCTAAGCTCTGAGTCTCAAAATGCTAAAATTGAGGATTTAAACAAGTTTGAGCATAATCTTTAAAAGCAAGACTTTCATAAAACAAATAAGACAAATTTTCTTCAACAAGTAAGTTAGCCATACCAGTCAAATTTTGTGCATCATTGTATGAGAAATTACCATAAGGTTGGTCATTTGCAAACCTCGATATTTGTGTTTGCTTCCCCTTGTCTTTCTCTATCTTCGCATATTCCACTAAGTGCGCGGACTTACGATGCCTTCGGAGGCTCCCATATCCGCCGGAAGTTCCCAAGCTATACTCCTTATTGCAATGATTGCAAGTTGCATACCATTTCTCGGTTGTTTTGTCTTTCCTTTTTGTAAAATTATTTTCTATAATAGGAGATTTAGATTTCTTACCAATTTGGGATGAACCACCCTCGTCCTCCAACTCTTTCTCATCATCCGGGGTGCCGTGACTACCGTCGCCCCTCTCGTCCTCCTCCGCATCCTCATCCTCAAGCTCTTATTCGTCAATGGTGTGAATGGGGTCCGAGATATTTTGTTGATGGAAAAAGCGGCCATCATTTTGCGCCAATAGGCGTTGTAGTTGCTCGTCGGACATCCGATCCCCATCTCGCCTCTGCGTAAACTAGGATGAGTTGTCGCAATCTCCTTCTTTCGGTTGCGTTGGAGATTTCCCATATCCACAGAATGTCTACCACGATTCATCTTTAAAATGTAACAAATATAAAATTATATCAAATATTTTAATATGAGTACAATAGTAATAGTAAAATGCGACTAATAAAATTATAGCAAATTTTCAAGTACTTTAATAAAATAACAAGTGTATTTAATTTATTAAAATAGGAGTAACGAAATTTGAATACTTTGAGTATGTTTATTAAAATAACAAGTGTGTTTATTAAAATAAGAGAAAAGGGTCAAATAAGGCCTTCTACTTTTCTCAAATCGTCACATAAGGTCTTCTACTCATAAAAGTGTCACCAACATGCACTTACTTTTAAAAAACGACCACATGAGTCATAATGACCAGTTAAAACCCTCTATTCCCGGTTTTCGCTTATCTGGCACTCTTTTTAACCAATGTGGTTTTTTTTCCATGTCAGCCCCACCTTGTCCGAATAGTCAGCCCCAACTTAGCCATATCTCAACATACCTGGTAAAAAAACAAGAGATCGATCATCTGCGACTAGGGTTAGGGAGAAAGATGGATTCCGCGATTGAGGACGATGATTGAGAGTGAGGTCGTCTTTTCGCCGCTTGGGATGTGACTGGGTTCGTTCGTTTGCATTTACAGGTTGCTTTGGGAAAGTAAGTAAGTTTGTTATGTTCAATTTCACTGATTTGTGTTAAGTCTATTTAAGAATGTTTTTGAAATTAATTGAAATTTGTATAGTTTAGGTGAAATTGTGAACGCGATGTCTACGTACTATAGTATCTGAAGAATTTGCATTCTCAAGTCCTAAATTTCATTACTCTGTTTTTGCCTCTAAGTTGTATAGTTTAGTAAATTTCATGACTAATGATGCAAATTTCATTACACTGGTAAAAGTAAGAGAAGTAATAGTGTAGAACAGTTTTAAAATGAAACAAGAGAAAGTAATGGGAGTAAAAGCTCTGCCAAAAAACAGTCTTGGAATGAATAAAGAGAAATAAGTTAAGGAAAAAATAACTCTGCCAAAATGGAAGACTTTTATAATAATAAGTAGGTTGAAGGTTTATTTAGCTCCTCGTTCTAGTGCCCAACTAGCTGCCTGGGACGATTGGCCTCCCATTATTTATGTTAAAAATGTTTATCTTTCCTTTCTTAAGATTAAGTTTTTTTAGTTATAAAAAGATCATTCACATAGGTTTTGTGTTCTTTAGTCACTTAAATAGCTCGTATACTATTTGAGAAGTTATCTATTTGAGTACTCAATCTGTTAATGTTTTCATTTTCAGATAGTTTTTAGAAGTTGAGTTGAAAATCCACCATGGAGGGAATTTCAAGAGAGTACCAAATCTTGCATATGTAAATGGTGATGTTGAGAGTATTGTTTTGGATCCAGATAAGATTTCATACCCTCACTTGAAGAAGTACATCACAAAGGATATGTATAAAAAGTGGATTCACTGTCATTCAATTGCCCGACGAGAGTGTAGATAGGCCATTATGCGACGATGCTACTACTATACAACTGATTGAGTTGGCATTTATTTACGGTGTAGTAGAAGTGTATGTGGAGCACGGAATTGATGATCCTGAACTTGTTGACCACTTAGGGTTGCCTTCATCTATAACTGTGAGGGGGGGGGGGGGATGATACCTCATCGAGAGTTGAGGCAGAGCATCATAGTGAGTGTGAGGATGAAGAAGACATACCATCTTGTGATGATCAGGCTTCGTTGGAGGGTGAGGAAGATTTAAACGATGACACCGATGGGAATTTAAAAAAGGCTCAAAATGGTTGGGTTGACAGTAAGGGTAGTGGCAGTAGTTTAGAGTCTGACTTTGATGGTGAGGAAGAATGTAGTGAGTATTATGACTCCGCAGACAACAAGGACCGTCAAAGAAGCATCTGCCAAACTGAAAAAGAAATGAAGAACTGAAACTAATTAAATCACCTGATGTAGAACCCTCTAGTGCAGCCATTTAGTTGTGTTTAGTAGTAATGTTATAAGATATTAATGTACTTGTTTTTGTTAGGCAATGACATGGCCTTTTCTGTTTTTGGATATGTTTGTGGTGTACTTGTATTTGTTATTTTCTGTCCAAGAATTAGTACTCTGCACAATGCCTAAATGTCACTGATTTCAGTACAGGAGGCAATACAATTTTAAAGCTTTTGTGACAAGGGAAGCTTTATTGATGATATTGTGTTTTGGTTAATGAATTGAAATTAAGTGTAGTGAGTAATTAGGATTTTCCTATTCTTGCAGCCTGCTCACTTTGTTGAATTGGTTGATTCAGTTGCGTAAAGGTCATTGATTTTATTTAAAACCTTTAGCAGACCGCATGTTGTAATCTTTTCTTCTTTAATTTATTATTATTATAGTTCCAAAAAGATTGGTGCAAGCTAATCTTTTTGTTAATTACTTAATTGAGATGTAGCTCAGTAGCTTAGTGAATTACTTAATTGAGATCCCCCCTATACAGTTGATTTTTGTTTGTCTTTTTAAAAATTCAAAATACTTTGAATTTTGAAAGTTGATTTTTGAGATGACATATGGACTCCACTCATTTCAGATACTTTTTTCTTGAATAAAGTATCTGACTTTATAAGCAAGTAGAATTTACTAAGTTAGCATTTTGATCCCACCTCCATCCACAAAGGTGGCCTAGATACAGAGTCAAGATGACAACTGTGTTTTCAGAATATTGCTTCACACCTTGATATCAGATAAAAAATTTAGGGACCAAAGAGATCAACGATATCAGTTATGTAAATTGGCCAACTTTAACCTTTGTTCATCAAGTTCTGAGCTTAAATATCTGAAAATTATTAAGCAGCATAACACACTCTTTGAGTTCCAAGTAACAACTCACTTATACCAGGGTTGTTTAAGAAAATAACCACAAAGTAACAAAAACAATATTCAATACAAGAGATGATGTTAAGCTGCTCGCTGAAAGCCTGAAATATATTATGGACATTTTACAGGTTATACACTTTAAATATGTTTGCTTAACATGTAGAACAAGAGATATATCATTTGTAAGAAGATAATTCTTCTGCTGCAGCAGAGGGAGGATAAATATTTGAAAAATGTTTAGGTCCTTGTAGTGATTGCTGCGTCTTAATCTTTCACATATCTGGCTGGTGTAGAAAGAGCCCCAACTGTTGTCCACTAAAAAGAGCCCCAACTTGTGGCAAAAGAGAACATCATGACCTTGAAAAGTTGAAACTGACCACACTTGCAAAAATCATCACAAAAAATCATCACAAAAATCATCACAAAATCATAACAGAGTTAGATATATATCTCCATCCTCTTCTCTGGATATGTAAGGCACATATCATATACATGTATGTAAAGAAATCATCACAAAAAAGTTAAATATATAACTCTTGATTGTAGAAATTTAAATTATAAATTACATTGTTATACAATGTGACTTCATATTGCAAGAACTACATAAAAATTCTACTTTAGTGCACATAGCCACATATCATCATAGCCATTGCTACCACAACAAATACAATTACAATTGTAATCAACAATATACAATTCCTCCTTTCTTGAATTTCAGATTGCAGTGCAGCTCGTAACTCACTCATTTCACGACCAACACTCATATTTTCATCTCTTAACTGATAAAGTAGCTTTCTGCCCTTCTCCAAAACAATACGCTCAACATTACCATTTACATATGCAAGATTTGGTACTCTTGAAATTCCCTCCATGGTGGATTTTCAACTCAGCTTCTAAAAACATTCTGAAAATGAAAAAATTAACAAATTGAGTACTCAAATAGATAACTTCTCAAATAGTATACGAGCTATTTAAGTGACTAAAGAACACAAAACCTATGTGAATGATCTTTTTATAACTAAAAAAACTTAATCTTAAGAAAGGAAAGATAAAACATTTTAAACATAAATAATGGGAGGCCAGTCGTCTGAGGCAGCTGGTTGGGCACTAGAACGAGGAGCTAAATAAACCTTCAACCTACTTATAAAAGTCTTCCATTTTGGCAGAGTTATTTTTTCCTTAATTTATTTCTCTTTATTCATTCCAAGACTGTTTTTTGGCAGAGCTTTTACTCTCCTTAATTTCTCTTGTTTCATTTTAAAACTATTCTACACTATTAATTCTCTTACTTTTACCAGTGTAATGAAATTTGCATCATTAGTAATGAAATTTACTAAACTATACAACTTAGAGGCAAAAAAAGTAATGAAATTTAGGACTTGAGAATGCAAATTCTTCAGATACTATAGTACGTAGACATCACGTTCACAATTTCACCTAAACTACACAAATTTCAATTAATTTCAAAAACATTCTTAAATAGACTTAACACAAATCAGTGAAATTGAACACAACAAACTTACTTACTTTCCCAAAGCAACCTGTAAATGTAAACGAACGAACCCAGTCACAACCCAAGCGGCAAAAAGAAGACATCACTCTCAATCATCGTCCCCAATCGCGGAATCCATCTTTCTCCCTAACCCTAGTCACAAATGATCGATCTCTTGTTCTCTTTTACCAGGTATGTCGAGATATGGCAAAGTTGGGGCTGACTATTCAGACAAGGTGGGGTTGACATGGAAAAAACGCTACATTGGTTAAAAAGAGTGCCAGCTAAGCGAAAATCGGGAATAGAGGGTTTTAACCGGTCATTATGACTCATGTGGTCGTTTTTTAAAAGTAAGTGCATGTTGGTGACACTTTTATGAGTAGAAGGCCTTATGTGACGATTTGAGAAAAGTAGAAGGCCTTATTTGACCCTTTTCTCTTAAAATAACAAGTAATTTATTTTTTTTTGTAACTGGGAGGCTTATATTGATAAAAAAACACTCAGCAAGGGACAATACTGATAAAGTAAGCACTTCTGACCACCAACCCTCGAACCAGCTGGAGAATCAATCACCTTAATAAAAGCAATATGATTCGCTGACTCTATCATGGGTCTACATGGGCCAAACATGGCCAGAGTAAGAACTTCATCACCCCCACAAAGTGTAATAGTCTGGAAGAACAAAATAACAGTAAATGAAAGAAAAACGTACTGATAACATAAAGTAAACTCAAGAATAAATAAAACGTGGGAATTATAGAGCATCCTGAAACAGCGGAACGAGCACCAGCACCCGTTCCCACCTGCAAACTTCTTCAAAGAATGTGGTGGGTCAAGGCGTCCAAACCCGCCCCCTCCCCGTTTTTTGGGTCCAGCACCATAGTCTCACCCTCTTCTCCTGCTTCGCCAGATACTTCCCAAGTCCGCCGACGCTTTGGTTCTCCACTCTTGTCCTCCATAGCTGCTGCTGTCGTATTATCTTCTCCATCCATTGAGTTACTTGCTGAAGGGAAGCCCCAAGTTTTCCTTCCCGGGCCCGAACTGCCACCCTCCTTGCGAGTTGACTTGCTTCCCTCCCCAGATCCATCTGGTATGATCCACCTACTTTCTCTCTCCAAACGCGCCTCCCCTCCTGCTCGTAGACTGACCCCATACGGCTTGATGGTGTTTGCAACATCCTTCTCATATACTAGAGGACAGAACCTGTTAGAGTGTCCTATAATACCACAAGAAAAGCAGAAACTAGGCAGCTTCTCATATTTAAAGTCAACCCAATACCCGTCGCCCTGTCCCTTTCTGAGTGTGGTCCCAATCTTCAGGGGCTTTCCCACATCCAAGCAAGCCCTAACCCTCATATATGGCTTCCACTTTTTGTCATACTGGGGTTTTTCCCAGTTAACAAATTTTCCAACAAAATTTCCAATCCTCCTGGCCACACCCAAATTCATAAAATCATAAGGAATATCATGGACCTGGACCCAGAATTCGGCCTCATTTAGAGGAACACGGAGTGGTACATCCCCGGGCTGCAGCGCCCGAAGAACTAGCAGATTCTGTTCAAAAATCATGGTCCATCTTCAAGCGCACGTTTCACATCTATAGGATGGTAAAAAGTAAACATATACCTCTTTTCATCAATTTGTTTAATGGAGATACCCTTACCAGGAATCCAAAGTGAGGCCATAAGCTTACGAAGAGCCGAGAAATTCACCATCTTATTAGTGATGACAGTCCCTACCACGGGATAGACCTCCTGCTTGCCCGAACCATCTTCTTCTTCAAGAGCCTCCTCCTCAAAGACCAACTCCTCTTCCTGATTCCCGATCACCATGTCCCTGCATTTGTTAGCTATTTCATCCATGTTTCTTCCTAAGAGTGGCCGACAAAAGCCTACCCCTGCTTTCGAACGTAGAGCCAAAGCCAATAGTAGTTTAACCAAAAACGAAGGAAATCAGCACTCCTAATCTCCAGGCAGAGACCTCCTTAGACTCAAAACCAGCAACCAAGCCAGGCGATCCCTCCTCTCACGATCGAGAGAGAAGAATGCCGCCGGAAATACCTAACCCTAAGCCCCTAGGGAGACGTCCGATTACTTCGTTTTAATCATAACAAGTAATTTATTAAAATGTAACAATTAACTAGTTTTATACTTTAATGATAAATGTAACAATTAACAAATTAACTAATAGGGAAATGAAAAATGTAACAATTAACTAGTTTTATACTATAATGATAAATGTAACAATTAACAAATTAACTAACTTTAATGATAAATGTAACAATTAACAAATTAACTAACAGGGAAATGAAAAATGTAACAATTAACTAGTTTATACTATAATGATAAATGTAACAATTAACAAATTAACTAAATTTAATGATAAATGTAACAATTAACTAGTTTTATACTTTAATGATAAATGTAACAATTAACAAATTAACTAATAGGGAAATGAAAAATGTAACAATTAACTAGTTTTATACTTTAATGATAAATGTAACAATTAACAAATTAACTAACTTTAATGATAAATGTAACAATTAACTAGTTTTATACTTTAATGGTAAATGTAACAACTAACTAGTTTTATACTTTAATGATAAATGTAACAATTAAAAAATTTACTAATAGGGAAATGAAAAGTGTAACAATTAACTACTTTTATACTATAATGATAAATGTAACAATTAACAAATTAACTAACTTTAATGATAAATGTAACAATTAACTAGTTTTATACTTTAATGATAAATGTAACAATTAACAAATTAACTAATAGGGAAATGAAAAATGTAACAATTAACTAGTTTTATACTTTAATGATAAATGTAACAATTAACAAATTAACTAACTTTAATGATAAATGTAACAATTAACTAGTTTTATACTTTAATGGTAAATGTAACAACTAACTAGTTTTATACTTTAATGATAAATGTAACAATTAACAAATTAACTAATAGGAAAATGAAAAATGTAACAATTAACTAGTTTTATACATAAATGTAACAATTAAAAAATGTAAGTAATTGAAAAAACGAGACAAGTATTAATTAACTAAAATAGGATAATGAGAAATGTAAAAATTAACTAATACGATGAATTTAATTACTATGAATTCAAGTGTAACTAATATAATTGTATAACTAATATATAATATGATGTTTATAGTATATAATATATAAGTATATTACTATAAGATGAGTAATACACTTATATCTAATACTTTAATATATATAAGTAAATAACAATAAATATAGATAATAAGTAGATATCAAAGTAAATATTAAAAAGATAATAAGTATATATTAAGTAGATAATAAATATTAGTAATATAATATATGTATATAAGTAGATAATTAATATATAAGTAGATATAATAATTATATAAATAATATATATATATATATATATATATATATATATATATATATATATATATATATATATATATGTAGAGAGATTTGGAGAAGATGAAGATGGAGATGATTGAGTTGTTGAGTATGTGAGAATAGAGAATTAGAGAGTAGGAAGTGTTGGAGAAGAGGTGTAAAAATGTATAGAAAATAAGAGTATAAATAGGTTTTTTTATCCCCACCCCCCCACCCCCCCCACCCCAGAACCCCTGGACCCCCCCCTCCTACCCCCTCCAACGGGTATAGAGCCGTTTGGGTGCCCTCCTAACAGCTAGATGGTTCAAACAAATTTTAATTTTTTTTTAAAAATAGCCGTTAGGCCCGAACCGGGCCCGGCCAGGCCGGTTCGCCATCTGAAGGGCCCGAGTCCGGACCACTTGTCTACCGGGCCGGGTCGACCCGAACGCCCCCCCCCCCCCCCCCGACCGGTTCAAATAGTAACCGGGCCGGTTCCGGGGCGGGCCGCCCGGCCCGAGTCTAGGCCTATTCGTAACTGCTCATACGTAAGTGAGTACCCCCAGATCACATGGAGCCTGTAACTATTTATAAGAGAGGCATTTAATGCACTTTTGTCCGTTGATGACGGTTTCGACCATTACGACGACATGCTCCGACCGTTACGACGACATCAAAATCGTCATTATGGCATTATCAATTCTGGTCAGCCCTACGCCTTAATTACAATAATTACTCTAATTATATACATAAAATCGCTCAGATTAATCATCTAGCATTAATCTTAATAAATGCGTCATTAATTGGCATGATAAAACCTTTTTTAATGTAGTTAAGCCGTCAAATAATTAGTGTACCAACAATATATGATATTGGTTCTTATATACCATTTCGTCTTTTCTTGGTTTTTGTAGGATGATGGGTTTTCATTTTATTTTGTCCGAACCTCCAAAGTAACATGTCAAAACCTCTCATTTTAGATTTGATAATAATGTGATATTAACCCATTCATTTCTTATTTGTGATTTATAAGAGCATCCACATTGATGATCTTCAACTTTACGGTTTTTCATGACTTATTATTGCTATGTCACCTCCACATAAGATAATCTCAAATAATCTCTTAATCAATAAATTTCTTCTCATTCATGATCTTAATTTACCTTGGATAGGAGCATGGGCATGCACGAACTACAAAGCTAGTCATCACCATAATTATGAGTATATGCCTAGAAGTTGGAAATAATCTCAAAATAATCTAGCTTTAGAATTTGATACCAGATTATTTTATCAAATAATCTCATAAAATAAGCTCAACTCCTCATCCATGATCTAAAAAAAATCCTCCACATCATCAAAATGATCCCAAAAATAATCCATGAATGTGGATGCCCTAAGAGTACACCACGTTTTCTTTGATTTGGTATTTTTGTATAGTCAATAGTTAACAGATGATATTACATAGGACGTATCACAGTATATTACTTATATAAATATTAAACACAAACAAATCACTTCTTTATAAGATTATTCTTAGTTTGAATGTTGACGGATATATGCCTAACCTATATCGGGATCCTGTTACTGGTGTCTAGAGATCGAGAAGACAAAATTAATTGTAGAAAGAGAAAAATATATACTCCGTATGACGGTATCTGATAATAAACGGTATTCAAACCATTACGTCTATAGAAATTGTTGAATATACTAATACATACACAAGGTTCAAAAATAGGACTGTGCACAAATTATATTGAAAATGAGATAAATTGAATAGAAACACAGTACGAAAAAAGCATATTCAAATTGCACTACATAATGATTTTAATATTCAAAACGATAAGTTTTTAAATTCAAATGTATGTAAAATACACCGCAAGTTTGTACTTGTAATATCTTATTGGCCTATTTTTCTTACCTTTTGAAATGCAAAATCAGCAATAACATCACTGTAATGAAGACTAAATAACATTTTTTTGCAATCGATAATATAGAGCCAATAAGTGATTGTATAACCAAATCTCTATTCAACTTATTCTATCTCTTTGAACCCCCCAAGTCAAAATTTCATTTTCCCGTCATGACAATATCTACATATTTATAGACAATATAAAAAGCACAAACAAATCAATCAACAAAAAATCTAAACTGCTAAATACAAGGACAAATCAAACAAATTAACTAGTTTACTAGTACCGATACCATCAATTAGTTATTTCATGTATTTATCAATTATCATTTAATACATACAATATGGCAATATCAATATAGCAATTTAATACATACAATACTTAAATATCAATATAGCAATTGTTGAGGTCAAGTCCTTGGAATTCAAACACCTAACACAATCCCTTGAACTTTCGTAAGACATTTTACCAATTAGTGTGTTTGGTGTGTTTGTTTAAGTCAATAAGAAAAGGCAGCAATAATAGCAAGAAAAGATGAGAGGTAAAGTAGGTCAAATTCTATTAATGGACTTAGAACGGTTACAAAAGACTCTTATCAAGCTCGGCCCCCCACCCCTATTCTATACTGAGAGATTATAGAAGAACTAGAGAGAAGTCTAAACAATTGAATGCAAGTTTGTCAAACCCTTTACAATGAAATAAATGTAAATATTTATACTACAATGTAATAGGTGTAGGAGTGACGTGTCAAGACATGAGTGGATAGTCTCCAATTATAAAATCATCTACATTTGGTGCATTAAATGCACTTCTCTGCCAAGTTTTGGTTTCCATCAGTTGCTTAGGATAGTTCTCCAACATCAATGTAGAAAACGCCAAATATCCGGATTATCCCGATTGGCATGTCCCATGTGGGATGACTCGAACGAGCTCTTGGCTTTGGTGAGCAGAAATTGGGTTCATGCGCTAGCTGGGTCGTCTGGTGTCATTTGGAACTGAGCCCAATACCCCAACACCAATTTAATCCAATAATTTGTTATATAGTGGACATTACTCGTATGATCCACTTTTATATCCCACATATCATTTATGTCCCAACTATTTCTTCTTTTTAGAGCCTGTTTGGAGAACTCTGTTTTCGGCTTATCAGGCTTATCAGCCAGCTTTTTCACCAAACACGTAATTTTTACTTTCGCGCGCTGAATTGTGTAATAAGCCGAAAAAGTAAGGTTGGAGTTACTTTTCTGGCTGTATTGGCTGAAGTTACTGTAGAAGACCATTTTAGCTATTTTTACATATAATTTTTTCTTTAATTTATTAATAAAATATATTTTTAAAATATTTTTTTCTTAAATCAGCAGAATCAGCCAAAACAGCCACTCCAGCCAGAATATCATAAATTTCAGCAGAATCAGCCAAAACAGCCGATTTTGGTGCTACCAAACGGGCTCTTAGAGTTTTTATTTTTTTTTAATTTGAGAAAAGTGTCAAAATGGTACATTAACTTGTCTCCCATAGCATAAAAGAGTACATAATTTTGTATTAAATACTTCAAAGTACATCAACTTGATTTGTAAGTGTCATTTAAGTATGTTTGTTATGTCGACGTTAGAAATGATGATTTGGCTAAACTTATTGGTGACGTGTTTGAAAAAAGTTCAGCTCATATGTTCGGTTTCATCCAGGCAAATTCCGGTCAATAACAAATGAAATTGGTCAAAAAAGATGGAGAAAAAACGGGGTTGTACCTGGCCACGGTTTTGTCTCTTTATGGTCATAAGGCATTTCACTTTTATCTCTTCCTGACACCAGTCATCACAC